TAAAATTATCTTTTGAAGAAAGGTATCCCTGAGAAGTTTAATATCTTGGAGGCTCTGCATATAAACACTTCAGGCAGAGTAGGGACATACAACCAGCTCTCTCTCGTTCCAGTCAAGCAATGCAGTTAGTTAAGGTTTTCAAATCTCATCATTCCTCTCTAACTTTGCTATGTGTGATATCCTGGAAGCGAATATGATGGAAGTAGGTACTGGTAGTATGGTTCTGCTACCTGAAGAGCGAATTTTCAATATTGAGTATGTCGATTCTGTTGTCTTACTATGTGATAACACTCAAGCTATGCAATTCCCACTTAATGAGTTGACAATAAATGTCCGTACGCATGCCGTATGCTTTTCATTCTCTAAATGCAGAGTGTTTCTACAAAATTTACAGGACACAATCCCGCCAATCATTCTTTGTGGTGATCTGTTAGAAGTAGTCAAAGCCCGTGTATTTGGGTAACTGTAGGAATGCTGATGGTTGTGACGTGATAGATAAAATTAATCTACGTGCAATGAGAGCCAGAGTATCTTATGCTAATCTGGTCCATCTTTGGCACCGTGATGTTAATCTGGCTCTAAAAGATCTTATCTACAACTTATCAATGAGAACATTTTCGACCTATGCTTGTGAAACCTGATCTCTTCGAGTGTAGGATGTTAGGGAACTCTATGTTTGAACGTCGATGTCCGATGAATTGCCGACATCCAGTGGCAGGATTGTGCGAGTAATGAGGAAGTTCGGCAATATATGTTCAAGCACATTGACGATATTTCGATTGGTCCCATCATCCCTAAAACATCGACTTCTGTGGCTTGTGCGTATGTTACGAGCATCATTCCAGAGAGTTCCGCATTGTGCACTATTTTCGGACGCTGAGACTGGTTTGAAAGAACGGAGTAGTAGTCAGTTTATAACTTGGTTCCCATTTGTAATAACATTTACATGTTTACGTAAATAAATAAAATTACTAGCTTTTCGCTTTAACAGGCCCCTGTAACCGAACAACAAATAAAAACGGTTAATAAAGACTTAGTCGATCAGTGCTGTCTTCGCTCTGATGTTTAGCGAGAAACTGAGGCATAGTAAGGCAGGATACCGACACTATAGACTCCTTGGATGAGCGTTTTTCGACCAAACGTATAAAATCATCAGATGGAGTGTTAATTTATAATACGATGAGAACTGTAATTTATGACTGACCTTCAAAATATGGTTTTGAATATACTTCTTAGTGCGAACATTGAAGATGGCAAGTTTAAATGACACAAGCAGGTAAACATAATGAAACCATTCTTGTTCAATTAAGTCTTAAAACAATGAGCAGTCCTATTCTCCACAAGAATTATATGTATAACTTAATTTATGATATGAACCCTGTTACATTTCTGGTATGAATAATATGATTAACAGAATTTTTTAAATAGATGAATATTTGTATCTGAGGACAAGAATTTTATCCATGTTATGTTCTATAAACTGAATAGTTTATTTGTGAGAATGTTTCTTCTTAATGAATATCGTTATCGGTACATAATTGTGAATAATGTAAATATCTTATAATTGAAATATTTAGTTCAGGCAACATAACATTTTAGGATAAAAATGTACTAATTTAAATACACTTTGTTATATTCTTACGACCTGTTAATATATCACATGATTAAACCGTCAGTTAGAACAGAGACTTATATAACCTTGACACTACCAAACCAATGACACGTTAACCAATGCGAGTAGCCTAGAGTCAATTCTTGAGTTCTTATTAGTCCTCCCGCCTAACCCTGCCCGTTTGCGTTCAGAACACAATCTTAGCTTGCATTGTATGAATTGTGTATATAAGACATACGCAGTTTATATACAAGCAAACCAGACCATAACACACCATAAAATGTAAAATAACAATTATACAAGATTAAACCAAAAAGTGGCTGTGATTGTGAAAGACTGTAAAGATCAATAGTTTGGGGATAACTTAAGAATTGTAAATCGTATAATAATGGCCAATTTGAATTGTATTTATCATATTGAAGGTGATTCATTGACATAAACGAAAAATCGACCATGTATTATGATTTGTTTTAATACTCATATAAGAAGTTTATCATTTTGCTAAGCGAAAATTTATGCATTTTTTAAGTGTCATATGGAAATGTTACTACTGATCTAGTGATTACACAATTCACTGTTTGTAAAATTGTAGTATGTATAGTAAAGCTATTATCAGGTTCTGTTCAATATCATTGACTGGTTATTAAATCTACCATGTGGATCAGGCTTTTAGGTCGAAGGCTCCGGGTGTAGCCCTTTAAGAAAACCACCTGCTTCGGTTTGAGCACCCGGGTAATATACCAGCTGTCACACAAATCGAATGATTTATGTGGCGCATATCTATTCGGTACCTCCTTGTACCAATGTTTATGTGTTTAAATAAATAAATAAAAAGACATACGATGATAAGTTGTTAGATACCTACTCACTGGCTAAGTAGTTTCATACTTACTTGGATAGCTAGAGGTCATGAGTTTTATTACCACACAAAGTCATTTGTATACACTGCTAATAAGTACGAATAATCTAAGATGAAGCTGATATCTATTTCCCCTTAGTTTTTAATGGTTCCTTAGCTTATGTTTATGTATAAGGAAAATGATTTCCAATGTGAATTAGTTTCCAATAACCCTGTTTAACTAAACAGTAAATTTTTTTTGTATTTTACCGTTTATCTGATACATTGCATTCCATGACCATTTTACATAAATCAATATATATATATAGAAACAAATTTAAGCATAACAACTAATCACGTAATTATAAATACTCAATTGATCTACACATTGAGGACTTTTCTATTATGTTAAGCGTACTTGATTCAATATTTTCACTAAACTAATACATATTTTGACTTGTTAAAATACTGTTTATAGTGAAAAATGAAATATATGTACTCATATAATGAAATGGTTATGCTTCATAGATGTGTATATCTATCAAATGTATTTATTTTTATTATTTATTTTAACACATAGATATTGGTACAAGGAGGCACCAAATACATATGCACCACACAAATCTCATTTGATGTGTATGAGGGCTGTGATACTGCCCGGGTGTCTAAACCAAAGCAGGTGGTTTTCTTAGGGGGTCACACCCGTAGTGGACCAGTGGAGCATCGTAAGGAGATGCAGTCCCATGGTAGCCAGTGACCAACGACTGGTTTATAAGCCATTTTTTCCCTCAGGATACTGGAGCCCATGTGCAACATTGGTTTGGGATCCGGTTAGAGCGCCCTACATTCGCTTTTCGTCCTCTCATTTTCATAGACAACACCCCCGACACGAGAAGGCAACGAGTAGGACTTCCCTGGTAGATGCTATATATGCGTGGCCATGCGAGAGCATTTCGACAGGGAGAGCGGACTCTCCCCACTCTCGGCCGTACCAAGGCATTCGGGGGCATCTATCAAATGAGAAATTCAATATTATAATTTTAAAAGTATTTCATATATTATATTAAAATATCATTGACAATCAATCAATTGAGGTTATTCTCAATGTTTTCAATATTCCGTAAGTATGTTGTATCCAGCACTTCTAGCTATTTTCTATTCATTTAGTGAATAGGTGCTGTATATTAGATTATGGTTTTTTTTACTACAGATTTCATTTCAATTCTGTGGAGTTATTGCCAATTGTCCTATAGATATGCTGTTATACCTCAGCCTAACATGATGTATAAAAAAAACAATTATGTAGTGAAAATCAAGACTCGAAACCAAATTTCTGTTAGGAATTACCTATGGCTATATATTAGCAATTACCCGAGTGTTGGATACAATACATTTATTGAACATTGAAAACGTTGAAAATAACCTGAACCAAGGACATTGATTCATTTGTTTTTGTTTTATTACTTTAATGCTTTATAAAGATTATATCCATATCAAAAACAAATATTCTTCAGAAATTAGGTGGTGGTTGGAGGTAGTTGACAGGAAACCTTGGAATCGGGTTTCGTGCTACTTGGCACTCGTCAGCAAGGTGTACCTGTAATCTTGAGGGAACTGGTGCTCCCTGGCGGATTCGATCTCGTGTCATCCAGTGTCGAGTCACCTAGACTGGTGGCCACATTGCAACATGATCGATAGCATTCGGTCTGCACTAATAAGGACTAGACACGCATGACATTGATCGCCACCCAGTGATCAATCAATTGTGATCCTTCACAAATCCCCACCATCATCATCACCTGGAGGTCCAAGGTTGGGCGTGGAGTTTATATTATTTATAGTTTTAAATAATCTCACACTTCATAATCAATCAAAAATATGAAATAATATCATACTAGTCTGATTTAATCATACTCCAATCTTTCCCACTATTTAATGACCATTCAAGTAATACCGATCCGTTGTAAAAACTATATACAAAGATAAAATAGTTCTTTTTCTTTAATAAAAATAAAACGAATAGTTCATCTTAAGCAACCTATAAGGGAAACGGAAAATACTAATCAGTGTTTATAATTTCATAACAATAATGATTTCAGAAGGGGTTTTTTCGATATTATAATAATTTTAATAGTTCAGATCATGAGTCAATTGAAGCTAGATCACCATGAAAAAACCTGGAAGCACTGAAGTTCAACCGGGTCTGTTGTGAAATAATAACTCACTGAAGACAATGATGAATGTGTCGCCCAATTTCGTGGATTGATTGAAATCAGATATTAACATCATTGGATACCGGTCAGCTCAGTGGTCTAGAGGTTAAGCGCTTGCTCGCGTTCGAGACTGATAGATCCTGGGTTGGAGTCTCACGAGGCAGGATCATGGATGTACACTGCTGAGGTAGTTTGTAATATGTTTGTTTTTGTATTTTTAGGATCGATTCCAACACTTTATTATTAGCATAATTTTTTTTTAATTAAAATGATAACTTATAATTGTTTAACATTCTTTGTTTTGTTTTGTTTTTCTTTTTAAAACTCTTATCTATAGTCAATTATTATCTCAAACACTTCATCGTACAGAACCATATTTTTATCAATCATGGATTTCTAATCGTCCTGGTTCTATTGGTTTAGGTAAAATTGATTATTTAATTATACAAGATCGACATGATCATTTATATAAATTTGATCCAATTAATAATATATGGTTACATTCAATAAATGGTAATGGTATTAAATTAAAAAAATTTAAAAAATATTGGTTAAATACTACTGATAATACTACTAATACTAATACTCCTCCTCCTCCTCCTCCTACTACTACTACTACGACTACTCATCATCATAATAAACTACCTCATACACCAACACGTTTATTAATATTAACAACAGATTTTGAAGTATTTAGTTTTCAATTATGTTATAATCAATTAAAATTATCAACAATATCTATCATAACAACAAAAGAATTAAATCAATTACGTAAAAATATTAAAAATAATATAAATTTATTTATTAATTTATTAACTAAAAGAATATCATATATACGTAAATCAACTGGATATTTATTAGCTAATGAATATGCAATTCATAATAATAGTAATAATAATTTGGAAACATTATTGATTGGTCAACAAGATACAACTAATCATAATCTACATAAAAGATCTAATGTTAATATCTATGAAACTAATTGGAATGATAATAAACATGATTTTGTAAGTTGATTTATTTATTTTAAAAGTGTATATGTTATAACTTATGGTTTTGTAACCCCCCCTTGATTTTTTTTTGTTTTTTTTTCCATCCCGTTGCCAATTACTTACGCCTGTTACTCATAATGGAGCATAGGCAGCCGACCAGCATTCTCCAACCCACTCTATTCTGGGCCTTCTTTTCTAGTTCCATTCAATTCTTGTTCATTTTTTCTCATATCTATCTCCATTTCCCGGCGTAATGTGTACTTTGGTTTTCCTCTTTTCCTTTGGCCTTGTGGATTCCATAGGAGGGTTTGCCTTGTGATGCAGTTGGATACTTTCCTCAGTGTGTGTCCTATCCACTTCCAGCGTTTCTTCTTGATTTCTTCTTCAGCTGGGATCTGGTTTGTTCTCTCCCACAGTAGGTTGTTGTTGATAGTGTCCGGCCAACGGATCCGAAGTATTTTGCGTAGACAACTGTTAATAAATACCTGTATTTTCTGGATGATGGCTTTCGTAGTTCTCCGGTTGCCAATTATTATAGCTTTATTAGTTTTCCTTTGTATACACGTATGTATAAATGAGACATTAATTTATCTTAGATGAATATCTATACTAGATTCCTTTCTCAGGGTCTATTTTACTGGAATTGAACACAATTCAGGTGATCAACAACATAGGATTACCCTGATTAGAATGTAAATATATTTCCCCACCAAAAAAACACATGACACAATCTAACAACAATGATCAATTATTAATAAGTAATAGCAATTATAAGGATTGGGGAATATATATAAGTCATCTGATATTTGTCAGACTATCTACATATCTCACTAAGCAGACAACTAATCATTGTCATTCAATTCACAATATTACACGATCCTTATTATGCGATGACTTTGGTGATATATCTCAGTCACCTGAGGTGGATGAGATATATGTGTGCTTAACCAATTTCTGGTGGAGTTTTGTTCTCTGAGCTGGATGTTTTGGTCGTGGAGCTTTCATCGTTCTTCTGAACGACATCATCTGCACAAATTTCAGATAGAAGTGAAGTGTTCGAATTTCTCTATATTTGTTTCACAGCTTGTTCTGTGCACCTCGATGTTGATTGGTTCTTATTGACCAATGCTTTCTGGGTGCGTGATGTCAAATAAATTGATGTTTTTCTTGAATAAACATTTGTGATGCTTTTGGTGTACATTGATGAATTAATGCTTGCTTCAGCTTCTCACCTCTCTTCTGACATAGGTCGTAAACGAACAATCTCGGTAAGACTATAATTTATGAACGGCGTTTGGGCGGCGCTAAACTGATTTTTGGAATGTCCACCTACTAACTAGGACTAAATGAGGGTGATAAACAAGTGTTAGGAATTAGAATTATGATTTGCAGTTGATGATTAGGATAGGGAATTAGATTTAAGGTTTTCATCACGAACTGACATCAGCTATAATGTCAAAGTGCTATTTAGCCAAACAGATGAATGAATTTCGCGCCGAAATCCACTACCTGTCATGCTAAATCTAACTGGTTCGTCCCTAAATTATACTCTCACCGGAATTTTAAGCAGTTCTATCCTAGACTCTTCTTTCTAGTTCTCCCCGGGTACTCTTCATCCTTCTGATGTATGCCTTGAATTCCCGGCACCATGTGTCATTTGGTCTACCTCCTTTCTTTTTGTCATAAGGATTCCAAGTTAGGGATTGCTTTATGAGATACTTTGATGATCTTCTCAATGTGTTCTATCTACCTCCGGCATTTTTCCTAGTTTCCCCCTCATTCGGAAGCTGGTTTGCCGGCTACTTGGTTGGACTATATACTTCTTGAAATTTCCCTCTTTTGAAGCTTTATATGCCGTCATTGCTAAGTCTTATACATATTTCTGCCTGTCAGCTTTGATACTGTTTTTCACTCGTTTGTTCACTTCTGTATATTCAGTCTGTGTTTCGGCCTCCCTCGTTTTTTTCGGCTGTCGACTACAATTTTCTTGTTTTTCAATCGTAATTCTTGACGAGATTGTCTACAAAGTCTATTTCTTTATGCTGGTGTTTCTTCAGCCTCCACATCTAGTATGTTAAAGTTATTGTTTCTCTAATCCCTTCCCGGTCATTCTCCATAGTGATTTCCATTTCTTACAGTAGAATTTTTCGGTCTTGAAACCTGTTGCATAAAGCCATCTTGAGTTTGCTGTGTTTTTTTAGCATCGCGAAGGAAAGTTGTATTAAACTTCAGTTTCATCCTGATCACCGTCAGGTGATGACCTGAAGCCATATCATCCATCCTCTTCATTTTTACATCTTCGATGGACCTTCTGAATTTGCTATTGATACAGATGTGATTGCTATGGTTATCCCTAATGTGGTTCAGTGAGATCCATTTAGGTTTATGTGTGTGTTTGTTGGGAGAAATGATACTGCCTATGACCGTGTTACTAAAACCTCACAACTGATCAATTCTATCAGTTATAAAGAAAACATAAGAGTTTATTTTACGTTTTTAATGTTGTAATTTATCTCATCTATATGTGCTTTATTTTCTTATTATTCTTCTTCTCCTTATACACCAAACATTTATCAGCCAGTCAAGTGTACTCCAGTTAATTCACTGACAAGATTAAAAACAACTTGGTATCATCGTTTAAAAGGAAATTATATAATAATTGATAATACAGATTTTGCTTATTGTCGTACATTACCATTGGAAATACCAACACTTGCATTTAAAATGTCTGTAAGTACATTACTTGTTATGTATTGTTTTGCTCTACAAATGATTATTATTCACTTATATATGTATATATACCACTATCGTAACCAATTGTCGGAGACTCGGGGTGACATGGCTCAGAATCAATCACAATGGTATAGGCGTATACATCGCTTCATATCTTTGTTTCGACGAACTAATTCTTTCTTCCTGTACTATATCCTTATATGCAATCTTTCTTTTATATATTACCACCACTGAATTAACTGCTTCCATGAATCCGGTGTTCATCTTGTTATGCTAATGAGGAATGGCAAGTTGGACCGATATATATATGTGCCTGGTCCTACGTTGGTATCTGACCGACTGATATTTATGTACGCCTAGGTAATGCTCCAACTATGTTCTAATGAAAAAATTGATCTACCTATTACAAAATATGAGTTATAATCTTTAAATTTAAGTAGTATATAGTGGTACTAAAAAAATTGAATGATCAAAGGTGACAACAGTTGCATAAAGTAGAATTCTTATTTATCAAGTAGTCTCGGATAGAACTACTCTTTTACAACTGAGATCGTCCTAATCTCTAAATAACTTTGATTTATTGATAGTCTTTATTAGTTAATGGTCACAATTAGTTAAGTTGAATTAAGAATGTGTCTCTTGAAAGTATTATTATTATTATTATTTGAACACATAAGTATTGGTACAAGAGTGCGCCAAATATATATGCGCCACACAAAACAATGAGAATTTAAAGAGAAGGAAAAAAAGGCAAGGAGCGTAATAAAAAAAAGAACAATAACGAAGAGATTGGTGTACGGTAGTGTAATAATAATAATAGTAATAATGAGGGAAACGGAAAGGTACAACCAGAAGAAATCTTTCAGTTAAGGAAGAAGCAACCACTTTTTATGAAGAACGTAAAAGAAGGTTACAGCAGGATCGCCACTGGCTTCTGTTCTGTGCCATATCTGATAACGTTTCTAGCCACTGTGTTGCACCATCTTGAAAGTATGAACAAACGTTATACATTTCTCCATGACATGTTATGTAAATTTCTCAGGGTTCAACATCACTCTCTTGATCCAAAAGTTAAATTATGTTTCATCCAAAAAAACACATTCATCTGTCTTATTCGAGATCAATTTTGTTTTCTTCATCACTTTATATAGAGCTCTCATGTTATTTGTAATATACCCTTATCAATTCATTAACAAAATAACGATTTGGTCAATATTGTCCAAATCTATTCAAGTATAATAGAGATCGCAGAAGTGTTGATACATTATTCAATACATCACAAGTAACAAGTTGTGTATTAGTTAATAGTAAACTAATCTTTTTTTCCTTCTTGTTTTATATTATCTATACCAATTGCACCAGAAGTAGTAATGTATAAAAGCACCATGTGAAGCACCATTTGAATCTATACAATCTCATATATTATTCACAATGACTCTTATCAATAAAAAGTATTTTATATAATATATGAAGATTTATATATTGTTTTTTCTTCTTCTTACATTGCACATTAAGCTGATAATCCTTGACACTAGCCTATCTAGATTTCTCTTCTTGTTTTTTTTTTCACTCATAGCCGGTTACATTAGTGTTGTCTTTTTTATCCTTGTCAGTTATCACCTGACAAAATCACTAATCACAATATCGACTAATGTGACCTTGTTCCTGTACTAAACCAATGACATGTCAACTCTAAATTTTTAATGGTTCTGAAAATAATGACTTCTCACCTAGCCCTGCCCGTTCAAGTCCAGGATAGAAATATAAATATCAACCTCCGCTATATGAATCTCATATTTCAGGTACATGTAGTTCATATACAGACAAACCAGACCATAGCACACACCATAAAATCAAAAAAAAAAATAAAAACTGCACAGTATCAAGCTAAAAATGGCTGTATGGGATACCGTAATTGATAAACTGGGAATAATTTAAGAATAGTAAATTGTATGATAAATAGTCAATAGGTCAATTGAAGGCTTATGATTATATATATTTGTAATAACAGTCTACAAATGGTTCCCATCAGTTACCCACAATTTAATATTCTCTGGATACAATATTTAGGTTAGGTTTACTAACTACTTATTTTGTCGTTTAGTCATTGTATTACATTTTGTATTAAGTTCATACTCGTTTACCTCAAAGTGTAACAAATCAAAAAAGAATTTTCTTCCCAGATCACTTCCCAGTTTCTGTTTAATCAATAATTATTGGTAAGATTCAAATGTGATGAACTGATCACTCAAAATACTATTTTATTTTATGTAGATTTACCGACTCTATAAGTCACAGATTCAAAACTTAAGTGATCAATTGGATTTATTACTATTATTATTATTTAATTACATAAACATTGGTACAAGGGGGGACACCAAATACAAATGTGCCACAGTTCGTCTTTCGATTTGTGTGTGGGCTTGAATATTTCCCGTGTGCCCAGACCGAAGCCGATGGTTTTCCTAGAAGGTCATTCTCGAGCCTTTGATCTCGAGGTCTAATCCACAAGGTAGTGGGGCAACATTAAGAGATGCAGTCCCATGGTAGCCGGTGACTAACAATAATCTCATACACTTTTTGTTTCCTGAGGATCCTGGAGCTCATGTGCACCAATTAGTTTGATATCAGGGTTTTCCAACTCCCTTAGGTGAGTCTGAAGGATCCACCAACTTGGTCAATGTGCCGGACATTTTAGCAGACCTAAAATTTCACTGGTTGAAATCATGAGTCAATTGAAGCTAGACCACCATGGAATACCTGGAAGCACCGGACGGCCGTGTCGTACTAGTATGGGACTCCTCAGCAGTGCGCATCCACGTTACCGCTCCCCGCGAGATTCGATCCCAGAACCTATCAGCCTCGCGCCAGGCGCTTGACCAACTAGACCACTGAGCCGGCATCCAACGGTGTTAATGTCTAACTTCAACCAATCCACGAAGTTGCGCCACCGTACACCATAGTCTTCAGTGAGCTTCTATCTCACAACAGACCTGGTTAAACTCCACTGGTAACGATAAATTATTCCATTAATTTTTGCTGATTTACTTAACAACAAAATAAACTACTGAAATAGGAGAGTTTCATTTTATTTGATTATAAAAAATCACCTAAGCTTATATCCACCCATTAACTAATGTATTACTTATAAGTAATGTAATCATCTCATGTTGTTTGTTTACTTGTTTTGTATTTAATTTCCTAGGTAATTATATTTCGCGACTACTTTGAAGGACATCGATTTCCAATTTTATCATTTTATTATTCAAATTCATTAGTTCATAATAAAAATTCTTATTTATATAAATATTATCCACCTTATTCCTTGGCTACTACTACTACTACTACTACTACTTCCCCGGTTTCAATGTCATTAGTACATCGATTCGGTGTATGGATATTAAGATCTGGTAATTTATTAACTGATATCAATATGAATCAACTGATTGATTGTACTAATCATTTATCAACAACAACAACAACAACATCAAATCACCAAAAGAAATTATATTTAAAACATATTAAATTATCATTTAGTGATCATTTAAATGAATTATTCAAAGATAAAAATATTGTCAAATCAACTGAATCAACTTTACAAGAATATTATATTCCATTATATGAAGATTATTCTAATGATTGGTGTACTACTACTACTACTCATGATTGTACATTCATGACAACATCAGATCATCCAACCAATAATGATAATGAGGAAAAGGCAAAATCACTAGAACAGAACAATTTTATACCATCTTCATTTATAACTGAATTATATGAATTGAATCAACATTATGATAATTGGTTAATACCTAAACATAATCATATTAAACAATCTTGGTTACAATTAAAAAATCTTATACAATTACCACAAATTCATACACCAAATGTAGAGATTTTCAATGAGTTTACAAATACTACTACTTATAATAATAATAATAATAGCATGAATGATACTACTGATTATGATTCTTCAGTAGTTGGTGACCATCATTCATTGATTAATGTTGGAACTACTACTTCTACTATCAATAATAACAATAATACTAGTAGTAGTAATGATAATCTAATGTTTATGAATTGGGATACCTTATCAACCGATTCATTAAGTAGTGAACGTGAAAAAAAATATTCTGATATTTTATTCAGATCAAATCAAAACAAATGGATCATTCAGTTATTGATAAACGTTTATCTACAAGATCTGATTGGCATAAATTCAGTTTTTCTAATTTACTTAAAACGGATGATGATGATAATAATAATAATAATAATAGACATAACAATCTCATTAATAATAATCATAATCATGCGAACAATAAAAGTAATAGTACTAATAATCTACGTAATAGTATAGGTCAATCATTTAGTAAAAGTTATTCACATTTTTATTTATTAAATAAAAAGAAATTAGATCATTTCGCATTTCAATGTAGTCCGCATCGATCTGATTGGTATGATTATTTATTATCAACAAATTGGTTAAATTTATTATTGTTTACATTAAAACAAGCAACACAATTAAGTCAATTAATTTATCAATATTCAATGAAACCAGTAAATGGTTATAATGGAACAATTATTTTATTAAGTGGACCAGATAGTGGTCGAAATTGGCAACCGATTTTAATGAGTCTTGTACAGGTAAGTTATGTTATATATATATATATATATATATATATATATATATATATATATATATATATATACAATAAATATTGATTATTTGATTTACTGTATAATTATAAAACTATGATTTTGTAGATGGTCAACCATAGCTACTACTTTGATTTAGTGATCGAATACGTCTAACGTGATAACTTGGTCGAACTATATTGATTGGAATATTTATTCATTTAGATCTTATTATGGCCCCCAAATCCACTGGTACAAACGAGAGTGGGGAGAGTTCGCTCTCCCTCTCCAAATGCTCTCACATGGCCACGCGTATATAGCCTCTGCCAGGGAATTCCTACTCACTGCCTTCTCATACTAGGGGTGTTGTTTACGAAAATGAGAGGAGGAAAAGGGAATGTAGGGCGCTCTAACCGAATCCCAAACCAATGGTGCACGTGGGCTCCAGTATCCTGAGGGAACGAATGTCGTATGAACCAATTGTTGATCACCGGCTTCCATGGGACTGCATCTCCTTACGATGCTCCACTGCCTTGTGGATCAGACCTTCAGGTCGAAGGCTACGGGTGTGGCCCCCTAAGAAAACTTGCTTCGGTTTGGGCCCCCGGGTAGTATCACAGCCCTCACACATATCGGATGAGATTTGTGTGGCGCATATGTATTTGGTGCCTCCTTGTACCAATATCTATGTGTTAAAATAAAATAATAATAATAAATCTTACTACGGTATGCAGATTGGTTGAAAATTGTTACAATAAATTAGTGAACTCGTGATCAGAAGGCAAAGATTATGATGTTGATTGTATCATAGAGTGATGTCTATGAGATATGTTCATCAGACAATTCGTATGTGTAACGATGCTGTTTTCCTATCACAGAGGTCGTCCCTTTAATTAATACTTCAACTCTCCCCATACATTTTCGTTTCTTGTAGTAGGACCTCTAAAATACAAAGCTAACAGATCAATAGGTCCTCACATAAAAGACCGTCTGTGATTGGCTTTACGTAGTTATCTCTTATGGTCGACGGTCACTTTCTTCAGGTACGGTTTCACCGTGTGGTGAATCAAAAAGTGACAACCACCTATATACACCTAAAAGTATTCTAGAACATCTTGACTGATTATTTTCTCTACTGAGTCTCAATCAAATAATTCACCTTTGTTTTCAACCAGTTATTTTTCATTCTACCTCGACTATCTATCATCTTGTGTGTTCAGTTGTCTGACTTCCTCCGTGACTGAAACCCATCAGTTGATAACTTTCATTAATCCATCTGAAAACCAGATACCAATAACAACAAGGTTATCATTACCACTGCACTACTTAGAGTCTTCCTGAGATTTTATATTACAAAAAAAGTATTGTTTATCACTTACTGGTAATTAAGAGACCAGTGAAAACAAAAAATAACACTGGTTAGCTGTTTTATCCTAGCTATAGAATCCTCATCCATTATTCCACTAGGAATGATTAGTGGCCCTTCAGCAAGCCTACCACTTCAGTGACCGTTGTTAACTGCATTTGTTATCGCTATGGAATGATGGAATATAAGTGGTTAATTAATGTCGTGTACTTTTTATCGGTCAATCATATTAACACAACGTGAAAAATTAGAATAAGTGTTATATTTAGGTTGTGTATATTTCATGCATACATGCGAAGAACAGAGAATATATATATTAGGATTTAGTCCAAGTGAGTGGGTCAATTCTTACATGAGGATAAAATTGTATGCACTACAGATAACCATTTAGGGAGTAGATAAGTCTTATAAGCGAAGCACATATAAAAATGCCTATGAATATAATCAACAAGGTCACAAAATAATTGGCAAGATTAAGAGCCAGAATGAGTTCACATAAGCGTCATAACAGAGAAGCTGCTTCAGTCAAGCCCAGAATCCTAGAGTCTCACATCGAGAACTTAACTGGCATCATATGGTTTGGACTTACGATTTCAACCAACTTTTAATAATACTCAATCACCATCCATTGCCATTAGTAGATAACCGTTTTATTCCCGACGTGGTCGAACTAATAGTTTCTCACTAGGCCTCCGGGAATTACCTGTTAAAATTGGGCCCTAATTGGCATATGATTACATTTCAAAATTATACTCATGTTATTTGTTATAAGGAACTCTTGTAATATAAATTATACTATTATGTATAGATAATGTTATCTGCGGAGAACAGAACAATTCTTGGATTTGAAGATTTAATTGAACAAGAATGGATTCGTTATGGTTATCCATTTGTCCCCGATCCAACTGATTGGCATGATGATTCAGTTAGTTGTGATTATGATGATGGTGCATGTTTCGCATTATTCATCGACTGTGTTCATCAATTATTAGTCCAATTTCCTACAGAATTTGCATTTACAGAGGTATGTGTTTTTTTTTCATCCTCACGGACATTACTTATCTTCACTCTTAAAGTGATTGTTATTTAACAGAATGTAATTTGTTTCAGTGTATTTTCTAACTATTATGCTTACCGTAGATTTGATTGTTCTTCACAACTCAGAACTATTATTGAAAACATATATTTATATAGGTATTATCAAGGTGTGCAGTCAGAGAATTCACATATACCAATAAAGAATTACTTACTAAATGAAGACCTAACTCCCAGGACAGAGTTTAAATGGTTTAAATTATTCTACGGGATGGGATCGCTGCTCTCATGCCCAACCCTCCTCCTTTATCCGGGCTTGGGAGCAGCAGTAGCCCCAGAGGGGCTCCAGGCGGAGTTACCAATAGAGAATGATCAAATACAATTCTTGATTACCAACAATGTGGAATATACAAGTCATTACAGTGAAACTTTATTCAAATTGTGTTTACGCATTTGAGTTCCTCCTGACTAGTCGCAACACAATTTTTGTTTTCTCAATAACTACACACAAATATGTACAATTCGAAATTTAGAAGAAGGAGAACAATTCGAATAAATCGTAAAGTTATCATCATTAACTAGTCGATTACTTATTGTATTGCGATGTTTCATGGTGTAGTTATAGTTTAGGAGAAAGATAGGGGCGGCCAGACCAAAACATGTCACAAATCCATAAAGTCACTGACACGTGGACTAATCCATGTTGGTAGGTGTAGACTACCTGGTTGGGAGCCGCGAGACATTAGCAACCACTGGTTAGGTACCTTGAATGACGTGGCTCGAAATCGTTTGCAATGGCGCACTCATCACTATTTCTCATTTATTTTTCAGCCTATATCTGGCTGACTTAGCGTATCAATATCATTTGTGTAATTAGGCTGTAAGTATCTACTTATGAACTGGAGAATGAGTAAATTCAGTTTGTCGTTTATTCTTTTCATTTGTCACGTATCAGATGTGAAGTAATTTAGTCATTTAATCAATGAAAATTGTTTGATATTGTATGCTAGACTTGAAATGATTGATAACTTTCCTAAGTATAGTCATAGTAGGAATTGCTCTAATACGCAATGACTTGTTTACAGCTACTTTCAGGAAATTCTTATTTACTGCTTTCACATAGCTCAAGTGATCCTATCAAAAGGCGAAATTAAATAGATATGCAGCGCTTAAAGCGGATCGAGATTGACAAAAAAGCATTCACTTAAAGGGTTGAGAAACTCTAGTGCCAAATCTACCGTGATACATGTTAATACACAATATAAATCATGTTTAAGTTTCATATTGTATTTATATCCTTAAGGGATATTTTCTTAATAAGTTATGTAATTATTTCAATGCCAAATAAAAATGAACTTGGTAGCATAAATAGTCTTCAATTAACTGTTAATGTGACTTTTTCTAAACTTATCTCTGTTGTCTTTTTTTTAATTGAGATCGCGAATCGATCAATGTTAGACCACCATTCAAAACCCGGAAGCACTGGACGGCCATTTCGTTCTAATACGGGACTCCTCAGCGTTGCGCATCCCTGATCTGTCATACGGGATTCGGACCCAGGACTTTTGGTCAGGCGCGCGAACACCTAACCTCTAGACTACTGAACCAGCACCCGACAGTGTTAATGTCTAACATCAACCAATCCACGAAATTGCGCGACCATCTTTCATTGTCTTCAGTGGGTAACTGCCTCATACTTAACACCCATTAGCCCTACTAGTCATGGTTTCTCACTGGAATTTGTTCAGAACTGTAAAAAGTTGGTAATAATTCTAAGAAGTCACTATGTGTAGAAGTTAAATTTGATACAATCGTAAGGACTGAAATTTAAATAATTCCATCGTTTCGTGCAACGATGTTGCCTGCACTTGTTTAGGGTTGTAATTGAAATCAAAATTAAACATGAATATATAACATTTAACATAAAAATCTACACTAAAAGCTTATATATTGTGTTATTATGCTACTTATGTGACATCAGTCAGAAGTGGAATGTTTGTCAAACGAAGATTGAATTGAAGAGAACAGAAAGAGATTGGAATAAAAACAGAATTGGGAGAATCATAGAGAATGTAAAGGACAACTGATGAAAGATGTACAAATTATGTATTTGATGTATGATTTTCACATTTTACTGATTGTGCACTAAACAATAATGAATTGGTTTTTCTCATCTAAGTTCTCATTCATCACAATATGAATTCGGTGAAATACTGGTTTAAATTAAAGACGGAGGTTCTATCGTGTGAGCGATATATACGCATATACAAGGTTTTGATAAAATAAACTCTTTTAGGATATACTACATACACGCACTGAAATGTTAGTGTCAAAATGATAATATTTGATAAATCAATAATTGATTCTTAATAAGGATGTATAGCTTGCTATATCATCCATTTCTTCACCGGGTCTCACTTTATTAGTTTCATTTACAGCTCAAATCAGGAACTGATTTAGGACTGAATTAGGACAGCTGTCTCATCAAAGTATCAGCAGGGTCTATCCGTAGCTCTATGGTAGACCTATCTTAGCGCTTACTTGTCTTCCCAGTCCTTCTTATTTCTAATTTGAGTCAACTCGTAATATTGTTCAACTATTAACAACTCCCGTCTATGATACCTATCTCACTCCTGACATGTTTGCATTCTACTAGTCAAAACTTTTCACCACAACTCCATATCTAATGGTCCTGGGTTCGATTATTAGTGGGATCGTGGATATCCACATACTTGAACGAAGAAATTACTTAGTGCTTCTTAGTTTTCAATAATTGCTTAGCTAAAAGACACTTATGATCTAATCTTCAAATTTTAATTTTGCTTATGTGTTTTCGAATTTATACAGTCAGTCAGTAACAACGTTGAACTTCGTAAGTACGTACATCAGCTTGAGTTGCCATACCACATTAGCACAGAGATGCAGTTGTCGATTCAAATCCCGTGGTGGTAGAAGTAGTAAGAGTATAAGCAGTAATCGGAAAGATTAGGGCTTGGAGATGTTATTCAAGGAGTATAATCCAGTGAAATAAATTTGGAAAGAGAAAAAAGGGAAACGAAGTATTCAGAAGATTAGAATTTGGGGGAACACAAAGAGTAGATACACTTGTGCCATTGCAAACGATTTTGAGCCATGTCATTCAAGGTACCTAACCATTGGTTTCTATTGTCTCACGGGTCTCAACCAGGTAGTCTACACCTACCAACATGGATTAGTCCACTTGTCAGTGACTTTATGGATTTGTGACATGTTTTGGTCTGGCCGCCCCTAACTTTCTTCCAACCTACTCCTATACTACTGAACATCTCACGTCGAGGCAGTCGGTGGTTGGGCATACGTAACACGTGTCCCAGTCATCTCAACTGATGAAGTTTCACCACTTCATCAATTGATTTGCTATCCTTACCTAGTGCCCGTTTCCTAACAACTGAGTTACTTACTCTGTGGTCCATTCATACATTATGAAACTAATCCCATTTTTATAAACTTTTTTATTTTTTTTATCATGTTTAGGATTATCTGGTCTTATTATTAGATAGTGCATTAAGTCGAGGTGGTGGAACTCCACCATTCACTATAGAATTCTCATGTTCATGTGAAGCAACAAGGCATGTTAAAACAAAATCAATGACACAAGAACAAATTATTGAAAAATCAAATTATTTTTATAATATAAGAGCATGGCGTTCATTTCATAATTGGAATGATATTTTAACTGATCATGGATATCAATTACTATTTAATTGGTTATATTTTTGGCAATATAATTCAGATCCTGTAAATGTATGTTCATATTTATAAATCAATTAGATTATGTTTATTATAAATTTCATTTTAATTTAATTTATTTTTCTATCAATTATAAGTTATATGGTTATGTAGAACTGAAAGTCTCATATGAGACTGGAGATTCGCCATTGGAATTGTGCCCCCAAATGCCCTAGGACGGCTGAGAATGGGGAGAGTCCGCTCTCCCTCTTGAAATCCTCTCACATGGCCACGCGTATATAGCCTCTGCCAGGGAAGTCCTACTCACTGCCTTCTCGTGGCATCGCTGTTGTTTACGAAAATGAGAAGAGGAGAAGCGAATGTCCTGTGCTTTAACCGGATTTCAAACCAATGTTGCACATGGACTCCAGTATCCTGAAGGAACAAATGAAGTATGAACCGATTGTTGGTCACCGGCTTCCATGGCACTGCATCTCCTTACGATGCTCCACTGCCTTGTGGATCAGACCTTTAGGTCAAAGGCTCGGGGAGTGACCCCCTAAGAAAACCACCTACTCCTGTTTGGGCCCCCGGGCAGTATCATAGCCCTCACACATATAGAATGAGATTTGTGTGGCACATATGTATTTGGTGCCTCCTTGTACCAATATCTATGTGTTAAAATAAATAAATAAACATTGGTATTGTGGATGGTTCAGCATTGATTTGGCAAGTTTTGCTGGACTGTTCATCATACACAAAATTGATTTGCTGGTTAACTGATTTCGCTCAGACTGGTGGTTGTTTATTTTCAGTGTTCTCAAAGGCCATTGTCACTGAGATATTGTAAGGCATGTCGCCATTGCTAACATTAATGGGTTGACTGTCGTGTAAGCGGAATAGGTCAACTTTGACCTGTTCGTGCTGTGCACAATTGATTCAAGCGTTCATTGATCGGAATAATTATTATACATATGACGTGAATGTGTATATAAATGGTGAGAATGGTCCACCGAGGTGCTTGGTACCTGTGTGGTTGCGCCACAGGATTGAGCTGTACTATTCAGATTGTAGCGTTAAAGCCTATACGGTGTCTGGTTCTCTTGTGAAGCGGGATTGAGCTGTACTGCTCGGGTTATAAACTTTAAGCCTGGGCAGTGTCTGGCTTTCCTGTTAAACGGAATTGAACTGTACTGTTTGGGTCGTCACGTGAAAGTCTGGATGGTGTTTGGTTCTCCTGAAAACCAATGTAAAATTACCCTGGCCCACAAGGGTATATTATATAACCGTTGTATGAATCTATCAACTTTGTATTACTTATCAAGTGTGTGAAGTATTCAGTTTCTTTATCAATCTTGTATGTTCTGTATACATGAAATTACTTTGGTGAGGTATTTTCAGTGAATTAAGCAAAATTTTTATTAAAGTAGAATTTGAATGGCTAATGTAAAACAGGCATTTATCTACATGTCTCAGATTCACCATTAGTTGATCACCATAGTTAACCAGTATCAATAAAGGTTATCGGTTCAAATGAATACAAACTACAATCAGTTCGAAAATTGTGATAAGTCTAGCCAATTGAACACTAGATTTGGTTTCTAAGCTCTTCTAGTAACCTCCCCCCAGACTAGATCTGCACACCGATTTGAACACGAGAGAAAAGGTGCAAAATGTAAGAAACACTTTACTCTAAAGGTTCACTTATGTACAGAAAATCTAGGGTTTTCATAGTATTTTAGATGCCCTTGAGTTTTCCGAAAAATCTGGGATGCTACTAAACATAGTAGCAGTATAAGTAATCATCCGATCAGAAGCTCGACATGTGACTTTTCAATTTCTAGATGTTTCTGTCAAAACATCTAGTGAGCGCTGATTGGATAAGATGCATCTTGATGTTTTCTGAGCCTTTTTGGGGAGTTTTCTGGATCTCCTCAACAAATTGAACGTTACAGAGAAAAGAAAAACGACTAAAATCCATACCCGATCATTACCTTTATCTTTGTAAATTAAATAATCATCCAAACAATTCTAATCTTTATAAGTAAATATGGATAGTGGCTAGCAGTGGAATCCAGGACGTATGTTTCGTCCTATGTGGCAGTACTCGTCAGCTGGATGTACCTGCATTTCAGAGTTGATGTTCACTTCGCGACTTTCAACATTTTGCGACTTGTCTCATAATAGACAGGCAGATAAATAGTACGTAACACTATCAATTTTTAAATGTGTTTATCTTGTATGATACATTCTATGAACTAGTTTAATTGCTTATACATTAATTATCGATTGAGAAAGTAACAGTAGGAATGCTGAAACAAATATCTCTTCCCATATCAAATTAATAGTTCAGTTGTTAGAGTACTTTTAATACTTATCATGTTATCACTCTGTCGACTTGATCACAAACTATGTCATTTATTAGTATTGTTCTGAATGAAGACTTGGTAGGGAAAACCAATTTTATTGTTATTTTATACAAAATTATACAGTGCTATTGTAAAATATGAAAATCATATATTAAATACATCATCTGCACATCTTGCTTGAGTTGTCCTTTACATGTTTCATCATTCTTCCAATCCTGTTTTTATTCCGACTGCTCTCTCGGCAAGATTATAATTTATAGACGAACTAATCAGATATAAGATAACAGGTCTCGGATTTCGGCGCGAAATTCACTTATCCGTTTTGGATAAATAGAGTTTTAGCATTATAGCTAATGTCAGTTCGTGATGAAAACCCTAAATATAATTCCTAACCTTGACCATAAACTGTAAATCAGAATTCCAATTCTTCACACATGTTTATAACCCTCATTTGGTTGTAGTTGTTAGGTGGACACTCTCAAGGTCACTTTAGCGTCGCTCAACGGTCGTCCATAAATTATAGTCTCATCGCTCTCTCTTTTCGTTCGTCTTCTCTTTACTTCAATCTTCTGCTAGTATGCATTCTATTTTCAATTCCTGTTATACATACTACTTATTTCTGTCTGCATTGACTCGCTTTGATTGTTTTGGTAACATTTTTATTTATAATTATACCTAAGAGATTATTCACGAGGATTTTTTTTGCAGCCGTTGTTGATATTTAGGACTGCAATTTCATCATTCATTTTTGACATATGCACTCCTTGACGAAGATGGTTTGGTAGTTTATTTATTTAACCACATTGGTACAAGTAGGCACCAAATAGATATGCGCCACATAAATCATTCTGTTTGTGTAAGGGCTGGGATACTGCTCGGATTCCCAAACCAGAGGAGGTAGTTTTCTTAGGGAGCCACACCCGGCGCGTTTGACCTACAGTTTTGATCCACAAAGCAGTGGAGCGACGTCAGGAAATGCAGTCTCATGGTAACCGGTGACCAACAGTAGGGTTCATACGTCATTTGTTCCTTCAGAATCGTGGAGCCTATATGCACCATTGGTTTGTAATCAGGATTTTCCAGCTCACCTAGGTGAATCTGGAAGATCCATCAACCTGGTGAATGTGCCAGACATTCGCTTTTCGTCTTCCGAATTTCGTAAACAACACCCACGCCACCAGAAGGCAGTGAGTAGGACTTCGCTGGTCGTGGTTGTATGCACGTAGCCATGTGAGAGCATTTCGAGAGGAAGAGCGGACTTTCCCCACTCTCTGCCATACCATGACAGTTAGTAGTGGTTTGGATTTATAAGTTTTAGTGTATATTTTGGTTTATGGATAACAGTAAAATTCGCACCTATGATTCATGCTCAGTCAGTCAGTAAAAACGTAGAACTTCGTACGTACGTACATCAGTTGGAGTTGCCATACCGCATTAGCACAGAGATGCAGTGGTCGATTCAAATCCCGTAGTGGTAGCGGTAATAAGAGTATAAGCAGTAATCGGGAAAATTAGCGTTTGGAGATGTTATTCAAAGAGTATAATACAGTGAAATAAATTTGAGAGGAGAAAAAAGAGACAAGGAGGAATAAGGAGATCAAAATTTGGGAGAACACAAAGAGTGTATGCACCTGCGCCATTGCAAACGATTTTGAGCCATGTCATTCAGGGTCTCTAACCATCGGTTGCTATCATCTCGTGGTCCCCAACCAGGTAGTCTACACCTATCGACATGACTCAGTCCACTTGTCAGTGACTTCATGGATTTGTGACATGTTTTGGTCTGGCCGCCTCTAGCTTTCTTCCAACCTACTCCTATACCACTGAACATGCTACTCAAAACTCATAATCATTTCGAGACTAAGACTCAAATTTTATCTGGAATCATTCTCAACCTCAATTTTCAAAGTATACTAATATGTGTATACCACAAACTAATTGTTTCTCATTGTATCATATTCTCTATAATTAATCCTTTTTATTACTATCATTAATGCCAGTACTAATTTGACATGTATCTCACTATACTGTCATAGTGTGATGGCAACATTGAACCGATACATCTAGTGTTAGGCTATTCACATTGTGTTTAACACTGACTGAGAACAGTGGGCTACTTAAGTTGTAATAGTATTTATTTGTCTACAAATTTGATTTGATTTGATTATATAATATTGTTGTTTTTATTTTAGAATAGATCAGATTATACTAAACTTATACAAACTATAAACAAATCTACACAAATACTTATACCAATTTTATCACCATTATATTATCCACATTTTTGGATTCATGCATGGTATCGTTGGAATCGTTCAATTCGTTTAACTAATGGTGGGGGGTATGCATTCAATGCTGCTTATTATAGAAATTTATTAGGATCAACTACTACTAATAATAATAATAATAATAATAATAAACAGAATTCATTTATGATACCACGTACAAATACTACACCTTATACTGGTTGGTTAACAGATGAATCAATTAGAAATGCATTAAATCAAATTGGTTATTCAATATCATTTGATTATTTTTATAAAAATTTATATGAAATAGCAAATTTATGGGATAATAATGAAGATTTTAACACATCTTAATAGATATGTTATACATACTTTCTTTTTTATTTTTCCCTTCTTTATTTAAATCACATCTATCATTTATGTATGAATAATCTCATTCCTTTTATTATCAGTGTGTCTTTTTATTTTGTTTTGTTTTTTTCTTTCTTTCTTTATTTATTCTCAAATGATCAATAGAAAAACTGTTTACTTTTGTTTTCTTTTTTTGTTTAAAAGAAGAAGAAGGAGAAAAAAATAACCGCTAAATAATCTCATAAGTTTTGTTTTTCTTTTTTTTTTTTTAAATTATTTTATTTGTGTACGTACTCAAGTTAATGGAAGGAATCCAATATTGATCTGAATTTAAATACACTAAACCCCTCTTTTTTTTCTCTCTCTCTCCTTAAATCTTTCTAATTATTTCAGTTTTTTTTTTGTACTTTTTATAAATTAAAAAAAATTTTTTATTACCTAATTTACCAGTAATTTATTTGTTTATTTGCTTGTTTTATAAATCTAATTTAAATAATTGTAATAAGATCATTATGAATATTCTAATGAAATTTGTTTACAGATAAACATGATTTGTAATAATTCTTGGTAAACTTATTTATATAATAACAGGCTTAAAGCTCAATGGGAAGATACAAACTGAACAATATCAAGTGAATTGAAATTCACCCCATTGTACATGCAAGTGGCTATCAGGATTCAGTAGATGAGTGGATAAGGCGATGGCGTTTGAAGCGAATGGTACTAGGTTCGAGTCGCATAGTGAACATCAACTCTCTGAGATGCAGGTACATCTAACTGACGAGTGCCAAATAGGATGAAACGCGCATCAAACTGGATTCCACTGCTAGTCACTATCCATCATTGCTTACAAATAGCTTGTGAATTAAGGTAATATCGAGGCATACGCACAGTATGCACATATGCCAATAACAGACTGATCAATTGCAGTCTTAAACCTCAATGGGAAGATACAAGCCATACAATACCAAATGAATAATAATAGTGAGTCGTTAAAATTCCCAACTGAAATAGATTTCAGTTAAGGGCTTGAGTTTAATAATATTTGCACTTCAGAATATTACTATATAATTTTGGAATGAGTTTAGAAAACTCAGTTGGCTTTCGCCAACTTGTCAAGTAGACGATGTATCCATCTGTCAATAAAAAGATGAGTTTACTACATATCAGTTCCCTCTGATCAACTTTATGGATGTGAAACATGTGTGTTAGAGATAGAGGATATCCATAGGTCACTAGTATTTGATTACATGTGTCTATGAAGCATTTCTCGTGTGTTCAGGGATCGCTAAGTGAGGAATTCTGAATTCAGGCACATGATACTGGGTATCGAAGCAAACCGACTGCTGAGTCTCTATCATATGAAGTGGTTGGCATGTGCCCAATCACCAAGTACCTGCACGGTCTATGCTATCGCATGTAGGTTGAGACAGAGTCAGGAGGAGCCAAACCAAAATGTGGTTGGCTGTTGTTATGAGCTATTTCGTTGGATATAGGCTACTTGGTTTCGGTCCACACGTCTGCTGTAACCCGTTGTTAGATACTTTGATTGACACAGACTACGATCGTTTACACTAGAAGAGGAGCATCCTCTATGTCTTCAGTCCTGTAATCTCTTTATGCCTTTTTCTTTGCCTAGTGTTTCCTACTTCTACTGCTGTGATTTGTTTTGAAAGTCTTACCTCATTGTACTAAAGTGGTATGGCAACTTGGACTGATGCATATAGCGCCAGATCCTGTGTTGCATGCAACTTGTTCTCCAATTCTAAGTCACATATTTGGCTGCCAATAATTGTTGCAAGATGACATCAGTATTAATTGGCATCCTAAGGAAATTACACGCAATTTACTTTGACAGGCTAAAACTTATGCATTGATAGGTGCCATGTCCAACTCAGTTCTCGATAATTAGGAACTGCAACCCACAACGAAACCTCCCGCTCATTATCAGGAACTTCTCAGCGAGCAGAAACCATCCCTAACGACGCTACCTTATGTAGTGTTAATAAGTCTAACAAAGTAATGGTTCACTGCAATCTTGACAGTCACCCATCGCCCAAACTCTTAAGGCAACTAAATATGCCCCGCTTCCCAGCTGGGAGAATAAGCACTGTAGGAATCTCAGGGACAATTCCAACCCCCCTCATATTATAGGATTCACCTGACAGATACGCTTCATATTCACCCAATAGACACACGAAATAGAAACCCCTGCACGGACCCAACAAAATAAATCCGCTCGAGATGGTTATAGAGATTGTAAGACGAATAAGCGGTATTACTCTGAACTTATAATGAGAACTCGTCACCCATGATCCTTTATAGAAAAGACAATAGCACCACATGCGAAAATGAAGGACCAATGACTAAAATGTGACAAGTATAGAATAATTAAGGCAAACGCTCACACCTTGTCACCTCTAAATATTTGGGGGTAATGAGTGTGACCTACTTACTAAGTGTGGGTGATCCATACCAGTCCTGAAGTAAACTGTATGTGATGGCCCGTATTATAGAGCCGTCCGAACTAGTTTCTGGACGACAGTGTAACTGCCGAATGATAGTCAGGTCGGATTAACGCAACTCACATCCACTTCAACATGTAAAGTAGTGACGAATCCTTCAGCGTTGGCATGGTCACTATCTACGCACTGCATGACGTTGCAGGTATGTCCTCTCAGCCAGGAGAAACCAGTACGTCACACCACGCATCACTAGCAATCAACGCGTGGACGGACCACGTGGAACCAAACAGCCAAATGCGCTGCCGGCAGCAGACGCCGTCGCCGATACCTAAGCATCATCACATTTACGTACATGTCGACTAGTGATTATAACCCAACTGGGAACTGACGAGTCACTACACACCACATAGCGGAGACAAGCGGTTTGTCGGAGTATCTAACGGGACAATCCAGTAGTTTATAATGACCTCAGCCTGCTTTATTGCTTGGAGCCTGAACCTTTGATGAACCCACTAAGGCGTAAGATTGTTTACTTGCCTCAAAAAAAAGACTGTCTTCCTGCAAGTAGACTAAGCATCTAACTTGTGAATTTTACGACAAATTAACATACGATATCCAAGAAACTAAAAGACGTAATGAGTATTAATTATATTTTGGATAAAAAACTGTATGATGCGACTTGGACGTTTTTGGACTTGAAGTGAAATGCATTGTAAACCTGCGAACCTCATTTACATTAACGACTGCGACTTCGGGAGAAACTCCTATGGTTTGACACAGATCTGAAAGAAAAGAACGTAAAAATGATGGCTAGGACAAAAAAAACCAGTGGTAACCGTTACATATTGATAATCTATGAAACTAGGCACTTACACGTTTAGGCATGAAGGAAAACAAGCTGTAGGTCTCTACGGACGTTAACTTTAGAGGCTGTCTGTAGTCACGACGACGATGTCGACGGCTCACAGATGCCGAGATGTAAGGCAGTTTATGCCCGCCGCAATGAAGTCAAAGATGCCAATTTTTGAATGAAGTGCCTATGTAGACCAGTCTTTTCATAGTACATTCCGTGTGCTAGTGACGAGTCACCGCTACGGAATTTAGAGCACCAGCATTTGACTGAGCTGTTACACTGCGAGATAGGATGTCGATATAGTCTAAGGATGTCGTACTTGGATGATAAAACTGATACAGTTGATAACGTATCATGGTAGCCGAGACGATACCAGACGACATGCGAGTAAGATGAATTACCTCGACCTTCTTCGGCCTTCAGGCCTGCTGCGTCCATTTGGACCACCCGGCCCACCACTCCGACGACGACAATCGTAGGCATAATGTCCGCGTTCTCCACACTCGTAACACCGATCTGTTGGGTCAAATGGTTTCATACGGCGAGAACCAACTCCATTGTCACGTCCTCCACCATTACGCGCACCACCACCTCCACGTACCCACGGCTTCTGTCGCGACTTCCCAGTGCTCAGTTCAACACGGGCGCGGACACCACACATGACTCTAAACATATTAAGTGTAACGACAAATGTCTACTTACGTTCCGTCGAGTTCACGCACCGCATCGCTGGCATCTGCAGCATCTTCGAATTCAACAAAAGCAAAACCAGGTGGGTTTCTGGCAACCCATACGTTACGCAACCTTCCGTACTCCCGGAATATGCGTTCTAGTTCTCGTTCAGATGCCTCTCTAGGGAGGTCACCAATGTATACTTTCGTGCCAACATCTCGGTATCTCGCAGCCATTTCTTAGGGTTAATTTCGCAAACGACCACGACTTCAAACAAAGTGCTCAATTCTCAATTATGGAAGCTATAGTATATCATATTAAACAAATAAGACAAGAGTCACATTTTACTATTTAACTTCATCGCTATAACAAATATTTTGGAACTATCTATGAATACGAATGGACAGGACATACTCAGACACATGATCGGACTATAATTGGTTCTTCAATGTGTCGCTGATACATAACTTACAATGACTTTCTTCCATGTTTTATCTTGTCCGTTTCTTGATTTCTTACTAGAAATCTACCTTCCTCAGTGATTGGTCATACATCTAGGAACAACACGAGGTTCTCTTTTTCAGATTATTTTACCATTTGCTGGAAAATATTAGTATCACATTATGAATTTGTAAAAAATTCTCTTCTGAGCAAATATCATTGACAAAATAGTAACCCAAAGTATTTCTGTAGGTTGATCACGGTATAAATAGCTATTTGCCGCTTCTAATTAAGATTATTAGCTTATAACTGGAGAGATGCATCTGGAGAACAAATACTGTGGTGAGATCAGATATCAAGGTTAAAATAGCATACGTTCAAAGTCTATATTTTCATCTCAAGTCAAACATCATAGGACTTACGTAAATGTACTTGTCCTTTGATGTTGACTACACTGAAGTAGGCACTGCAGGATTCAAAAGGGATAGAGAATAATAAACGAGGAGTAAGGATGTCCCACTGCCAGTATTTATACAGATACCTCAGTGAAAAAACTTCTACACTCAGATAGTTTTAATTTTCAAGATGTTAGTACTACACATACTATACATTTAACTTACGAGTATTCGATGCTAACACACAGCAGAGACAGCATTTCTAAATAATTTACAGTGCTACACCTTGAACACTAAATCATGATAGTCAGGAGTTCAGACATCATCTCTAGGCTTTCTGTTTACAACGGCTAGCCAGTGTAAAAAGATGTTAGATTGCTTGAGTGAAATGATGAAACACTTATTTTAGGGTCAAAGTAAGGAGTTGATGAAGCTTTATAAACAAACACATGATAGGCATAAAATACTAATGTAAAGTCATGACGCCAACAGTTACTTTGTTTACGCTCAAATTAAGCACTAAACAATCTAACGAAGTGTAGAGGCTTACCAGATAAAAAGCTAAAATCTGTCAGTACACTATAAATTATGAACTGACGTCTTCCGTTG